CATTTTCTGATGCAATCGGCTGACAATCTTCCTTCATCAGTTTTTGTCGTTTGTGCTGCGGCTGCGATTCTACAGGAATGTAGCAAATTTATGTTATGATAATTAAACAAAACTCTTGACTTTAAATAAGTAAACAGTTATAAACAGTTAGCTATTTAAAGGTGACCTATAATTCAAAATTGAATTTACCTTGGTATAGTCAAATAACAAGAGTTCAGTGCATGGACATGACATAGAGTGAATCTCAAACTGGACTGTTTTCGCGTTCTCATTTAATTCACGTTTATGAAAAACACCCCTGAAAAACGGTCGGTTCTCCACACAATACCGACTGTGACGCAATAGTCGGGATCATTAATATGTACGCCTCCAAATATTTGCATAATGCCAGCCCTCAATGCCAGGCGGAACTGCGCAGCCGAAGCATGGCAGTTGCTCAGTGTGGATGTACACATGAACACAAAAGTATTTTTTAGTTCCTTCATCTGAGCCTCTGAAGAAACAATGGGTTAATTTTATTTTCTCTGGAAATTTTCAAACATTTCACCGACGACTGTTTCCTCAACTTGGGCCAATACAGAGCTGGCCTCGGATCGAGCTACCAAGCAACACTTTCTGATGTGTAATTGTTCAAGTTCAGACAGGTAATCTTTCTCTCAAAATCGTTCAATACTGTTTATGCATCAGTAAGTCAAGCCAGTGACTAAAATATCAGCTTCACATCGTTTCTTTTAGTAGGATGAAAATAATCGTATTTAAATTGTGAACAAATTATATACAGAAAGCGATCAAAGAACAATCTTTCCACACAGCGCGAGTTTATCTGGACACTTGCCAAACTCGTTATGAAATCAATGACGCACGTTACTGCACAACGAAGCTCTTACTGTATTTACATCATCGTGTTTGCATTGGTGAAAGCAGAGAGAGTGCAGAAACTGCTTTGCAATGATAAGATCTTCATTCTCGCGATCAACACTGTCATCTGCTCAATGCTCATCACGGCAACATTTTATGTGATGGGAATAGATCTAAATACTTTAAAAACATCTCACGATTCGTTAATCTCGATAGCTGTTATAGTAAAAACGTATAATAGCAGTAGTAAAAGTATTCGGGAGAGAGTTTCACATGTAATGCGTTGCTATTTCATATGCAAGCATGTCAGCCAATCACAGCAGTGGCCGCGGTTACACTAAATCCCACAGCAGACACGCCCCTTCAAACAGAGTGTTCAAATCAGAGGCTAAAAGCAGGCTAGGAAAAATGCCATTTATTTCTAAATTATGATTATTTTTTATCTGAAAAACATACTAACATTATAAGGGTAACCCAGGAAACATTATAAAATAATAATAAAAAACATTCTAGGGCACCTTTAAGCATCAAGAAGGTAAAATATAAACGCTGTTGGCCAACATCGGTTAACAACATGTATGCTACATTGAGATTCGATCTCGGGTCGTTTGAAGCTCCTCGAAGCTCGTGTTGTTGCGTTAACCACTGAGCTATCGTCTGTACGTCTGTAAATGTTTTTATTGCAATGTTTTATGTTTTCATTATTTATTCAATTTCATTTCAGTAGCCTAATTTCAGTATTGTGATTATGAATTATTTTAACTACGTTTCACTTGTTGAATTCATCTGCTACCAGCTTTTAATCGCTCTAAATGAGCCGCGGTGCGGCGGCAGATTACGCATTAGAAAGAATAAACGAACACTTTTCAGAGTCTATGATTGTAGCGCCTCTTAGTGGTAAAAGGCAGCAAATACACCACACATTTTACCGCCGCGTGGAACGGCTGATGTGGGCATTGTCATGGCTTGCCTCAACATTTGCGTTTGAATAGCGCGCGTCCTCCGTGGGCGTGTCAGATTAACACGTAATGAAGTGTAATGAGCTGGGGAAAAAAATTCTGACAGCACTCTCTTTTCATACAGATTACATAAACTGAGAATATTTGTTTTTTATATAAATTACTTCATTGAAAAGAAGAGAATTCAAGCTTCATAAAGAAAAATCTCTCGTGCCTGTATGACAAGTATTTGCAGAGTTAGAGTTAATTTTTCGGACGTGTTTCAGAATGGACTGCACTGACAGAGGGATGGCAAAACTCGCATCATGTTTATTTTTCTTTATTTGACAAAAAGCACAAAACTTTGTTTTTATTGTGAGTATACAGAAAAATAATAGACAATTAACAGGATCGATTGATGTATAACACTTATATGTACGATCAAAATCAACAGAGTATTTTAAGTCTATTTTTCTGCTATGTGAAAAAAAAAACGGCAAAACGCGCCGGCGCGTTTCTGGTCCCCAGAGGGTTAATATGTCATCCCATTGCTGTCTTGCCACCAGCCAAAGGCTGCATTGCTGATCATGTTTTTTGTCATGGAACAGAAGAATGCAACACACAGATAATATCCAAAACAAGAGGTTTATTGCAGGTTTAATGGGTTTCCATGGCCGAGCAGCTGCATCCAAGCCTTACATCACCAATTGCAATACAAAACATTGGATGCAGGGGTGTAAAACACTGCATCCAATGTGTTGTGTTCTCTGGACTGACGAATCACGTTTCTCTGTCTGGCAATCCGATGGACGATTCTGGGTTTGGCGGTTGCCAGGAGAACGGTACTTGCCTGACTGCATTGTGCCAAGTGTAAAGTTTGGATTATGGTGTGGGGTTGTTTTTCAGGGGTAGGTCTTGGCTCCTTGGTTCCAGTGAAAGGAACTCTTAATGCTTCAGCATACCAATACATTTTGGACAATTTCATGCTCCCAACTTTGTGGGAACAGTTTGGAGATGGCCCCTTCCTGTTCCAACATGACTGCGCACCAGTGCACAAAGTAAGGTCCATCAAGACATTGATGAGCGAGTTTGGTGTGGAGGAACTTGACTGGCCTGACCTCAACCTGATCGAACACCTTTGTGATGTATTGGAGCAGAGACTGCGAGCCAGGTCTCCTTGATATTTTAGTGCATGTATACCTAGCCGAATTTCACTGTAGGGGTCGAGAACGAGTCTTCGAACCTGTGTGTATGTCTACTATGAAATTACCACATCAAACGTGACGTGTTAACATAGATGCAGCTATGAAGCCGCCGGGTTTGCTTCAGGGAAATTTTTTTTTAAGAAGCTTCCCAATGGAAACCTCTACAAGACTAAGGTTATTTGCACCTTATGCAATGCGGAATTAGTTTACTGTAGGAGTTCTTCCAGTCTCAAGTACCACCTAAACGCAAAGCATCCCTTAGCTAATGCGGAAGATGCCAGGCCAAGCACTGATGTAGCGCAGGGGAAGAGGGGTTTGGGGTAACTGTACAACTTGTAACGACTGGAAATAAGGTGTGGCCCCTATAAGAGCTGTGCGCTCCCTGTTGAACTGTCGGCAGTATTGTATTTTATGTGCCTTGGGCCTCGAACACCCCTTTTACTGTCTATGCGAACACCCCATGTATGCGAGTAATTTCTGTTTGATGCTAATTTTTATCTTATTTTATTTATTAAGTAACGATGTGGACGGTAGAACGTGTGACCGACAGTTAGGCTACACGAGTTCGATTTGGGAATAAAGTGCGAGTTGTGAGATGCCAATCGCCTCCGTGTGTCTGTCTGGCCTCTGCATGCAATAACTTCAGTTGTGAGCTATCCCTAATCTTCGTGAAGCAACGCGTTACAAACTGTACTTCAGTTTAATTGCGTGGACACCACCTTCACCTGCCATCATGTCTATCGGCTCGCTTTCGGGTTAAACTTTCCGCGACTGCGCAACTGGGTTATATGTTGCCAGGTTGAGGTGACAAACGGGTTGAAATTGTAAATGGTCTGTGGATTGTGTGAATATAATGCATTTAATACAATCTGGCAACTGGTCAACATTAGACAAACATATTGGTCCGATTATTCATAAAGGAGTTTGGGCCATGCAAATTACGGGAGTTTCCCGGGAGAAATAACAAACCGGGAGGGGTCCGGGAGATAGGGCTAAAAAACGGGAGAAACCCGGGAAAAACGGGAGTGTTGACAGGTATGCTCAGAATCAGATGAGGAGACACGAGAAGACAATACTGTGGAGAGGTACAAGGTAGAGCCCAGTACCAGTCTAGATCAGTGTCCACTGAAATGGTGGTCGGAGCACACTGCTGTCTATGGTAAGATGGCCCACATTGCCCGTAAATACTTGGGGACTCCTGCCACAACTGTCCCATGCGAGAGACTTTTTTATTTAGCAGGCCATATTGTGCAGAAGAGGAGATCTAGTTTGTCACCAGAAAATGTGAACAAGCAGGTCTGCCTGAGTGACTGGTGGAAGAAGGAGAAATAGAGCTTGGACTGATTGACACAAAGCTACTGACTGTAAAACAGCTCATCACGACCTCTTATGTAGGCCTACAGTTCAAAATTCATGTTTAACTGAATAAACAGTTAGTAAACACAAGTACATCTTATTTAACATGATTTATTTTCATCACCAATTATCATAGTAGAACAGCTTTCTCAAGCAGTTTGTGATGCATTTTGGAAACAACCTGGCTTGAGAAACACGTTCTCAAAGACTTACTTTTAGTCATTATTTGGGTAGCACACATATTCTGAATGCCTTTGGCAGAATTCAAATGAGCCATTTTAATCTAGATTAATTCCAAGATTACAGTGAGATTTAAAATTAATCTATGCCCACCACTAATATATATATTAGGGATGCAACGGTACACGGTAAAATCCCGGACCGTTCGGTCAGCCCTGCACGGGACAATCTACCCTCGTGTCCCGCGGGACTTCGGTTTTGCCATTGCGTTCGCGCTGATCCTTTTAGTTTTTGCTTTACACGCCATCAGGTGCGTTTGCCTCTCCAGGCAGACGAAACCCCCCCCTCGCAAGTTAAAGTGTCCAATCAATCACTGTTGTGCACCCACACGCTAACTTCTGTCACTCACTGGCTCGTATTACTAGTTGTTTGGCTACACATGCTACAGAGACACGTAGAAATGGCGAGCTCTAGCGGAGTTGAAAAACAGAAATTTGAAGATGCACCAGCATCTTTCAAATCTTCAGTGTGGAATCATTTTGGCTTTGGGGTTGAGTACAACGACGAAGGAGGGAAAACAATCAACAGAAATTACACTGTAAACTTTGTTTGGCACATGTCGCATACTCCAAAGGAAACACGAGCAATATGTCAAAGCATATCCAGCGAAAGCATCCAGACATAACGCTTCATGAACACAGGTCAGTCGAGCAACCCGAACAGGCACTAGCAGAAAAAAAACAATTGTCTATTGAGAATGCTTTTGCTCAGACCTACCGGGCCTCTTCAGAGAAACACAGAAAGATAACCGGTGCATTGGGAGTGTTTATCGATAAAGATTTACAGCCCTTTTCTGTAGTAGAGGATGTGGGGTTTAAACATTTAATGAAAACGCTCGACCCACGTTATGCTGTGCCCAGTCGCACTTATTTCAGTGCGGTTGTCATCCCTGGTCTTTACGACAAAACGCGCAAAGCCATCGAGAGTGATTTGGCGAAAACAGAAAGCCTCGCACTGATTACGGACAGTTGGACTTCTCGGGCAACACAGAGCTACATGACTGTGATGGTTCTCTACATTTTGGACTGGCAGATGAAAAGTGCCGTGCTGCAGACCCGCCCACTCTATGAAAGCCACACAAGTGCGCATTTAGCAGAGGAGTTGAAAAATGCAGTCACCGAGTGGAAGCTGCAGCGGCCAAATACAACTATACCCGTCACCACAGATAATGCTGCAAACATAGGTTAGGTTAGGTTACTTTTTTAATACCCGTAGGTAAACTGGTTTTACAGTCTAAGAGGCAGGACATCCTTAGAACATTGTTGACCACAACATGACATAAACCTACAACACAGATACATTAAAACATATAAAAAATAAAACAGGCAGTAAAAATAAATAAAAAGGAAGAAACAGAGAACAATACATGACCAAAGTGCTTGTGCGTTTTGTGCAAATAGTAATTTTTACAGCTTGTTTAACAGAGTGATTGCTGCTGGTACAAAACTGTTTTTAAAACGAGTGGTTCTACAAATAGGGACTTTTAACCTCCGTCCCGAAGGAAGACTCTCGAATTCCCTATTCAAAGGATGTAGACTATCATTAGTGATAGCCATAGCTAACCTCTGTAATTGTTTTGCATACAATGTCATAGGGTGCGGCTGGGATTCCCCGGTCAGCTTACTTGACCATTTTACAATTTGGTTTAGGCGGTTCTTGTGCTTGACTGAGACACAGCCAAACCATGCCACCAAGTCGAATGATATAATCGTTTCAATAAAGGACTTATAAAATAAGGTCATCATAGTCTTGTCTATATTGAAATGATGTAATTTCCTCAAACAATATAGGCGCTGTTGTCCTTTTTTACAGACAGCCTCACAATTCTCCTGGAAATTTAATTTAGAGTCAATAATTGTCCCTAGGTATCTATAAGATTGTACTTGGTCCACTAGTTGACCATTTATAGTTATTGCCTCATATCCTGGAGTTTTTCCAAAATCAATGTACATATCCTTTGTTTTGGATATGTTCAATTGAAGGTGTGACTCCTCACACCATCTGACAAAGTCTTCAATTATTGGACCATGGCCTCTTTCATTTTTATGGAGCAGACTCACTATGGCGGTGTCATCAGCATATTTTATAATGGTCCTATTTACATATTTGCTCTGACACATATTTGTATATAAAATGAACAGAAGGGGTGAAAGTACACACCCCTGTGGTGAACCTGTAGAAGAGCAAAGCTGACCAGATAGAGCTCCATTCACCTTTACTCTCTGTGTCCTGTTTGTTAAAAAATCCAAAATCCAACCGACAAGATTAGAAGAAAAATCAAATTGCTCAATAAGACGATTAGCTAAAATGTATGGTTGGATTGTATTAAAAGCAGATGAAAAATCAATAAAAAGAATTTGTGCATAGGACCAACTACCCTCAAGATGTTTGAGGAGCAAATGAAGCAGAGTGAGAGTGGCATCTTCTACACCCCTGCGTGGCCTGTAGGCAAATTGCATGGGATCCAATGCATGTTCAGTTATCCTTAAAATGTATTGTTTTATCAAATTTTCAAAACTTTTCATTAAAATTGAAGTGAGAGCGACAGGTCTAAATTCACTGAGTGTTTTAGAATTACTACATTTTGGAACTGGGACCACTACCGCATCCTTCCAAATTTCTGGTACATGTTGCGTCTGCAAGGATTTATTAAAAATATATTGGAATATATGACTCAGCTCTTTTGAACACATGTTTTGATCACACGCCCACAGATGTTATCAGGTCCTTGACTCTTATTAATCTTTGTCCTCCTAAAGACATTTACAACATCCTCATATGTAATGTTTAAATGTTGATTATCATCCTTGAGTTTACACTGGAGTGCTTGAACCTCCTGACTAAAATCAGACTTGTCAAAACGTGTAAAAAAAAGTATTAAAAGCATTGGCAAGCTCAACATCTGATCCAAACCCCTCTGGAAAAGCATGACTGCTATTTCTGTGCATCTGCATACCTGCTATCGTTTTCATACCTGACCAGGCAGAGCCAAGGTTATTTTCAGCCAGATTTTTTTCCAGTTTAGACTTATATATTTGTTTTGCCTTATATATCTCACTTTTAAGCTCTTTGGTTGCTACATGTAGGTCAAAGGCATTTCCCTGCTTATGAGCATATCTTTTTTCTTTATACTATCTTTTATAGACCTATTTACCCATGGTTTATTATTAGGGTATATTTTTACTTGTTTGCTAGGTATAATCATATCTCTACAGAAGACCACATATGAGCAAACCACATCAGTCATTTCATCCAAGTCCTTGCATGATTCTTTAAAAATATCCCAGTCTGTGCAATTGTAACACTCCTGGAGGCGCATAACCGATTCCTCAGTCCATTCTTGTACTGCCTTGGTTTGCACTTTTTCCCTTCTCAGGACAGTACGATAAGTGGGGAGGAATTGTATACAGTTATGGTCTGCGGAGCCCGGCGGGGGGAGTTTACAAACAAACAAACAAATCTGACGCCAACTCTCTCACTGCCAGTCGCACGTGTGCGCATGCGCCCTCAGACGCATGCGCGTCTAGTTAATGCAGTCAATGAAACTGTTGAGCTGGGACCCCAAATTGGCTGTTTTGCTCACACTTTGAATCTCGCGGCCAAGAGGGCAGTGTCAATCAACGCTGTGTCCCGCCTCCTTGGGAAAGTGAGGAAAGTTGTCACCTTTTTTCACCGCAGCACCACAGCCAACCAAGCACTTGCTGTGAAACAGGAAATGTTAAACTTGCCAAAGCACAAGTTAATCAATGATGTGATAACTCGGTGGAACACATCACATGACATGTTGTCACGATATGTTGAGCAGCAGCCTGCCATCTATTCGGCATTAACAATGGACAAAAACCTGAGGAGCCACGTCACGGGCATTGCAATGTTGACTGATGTAGAACAAAAAATGGCAGAGCAACTAATTGAAGTACTCAAACCACTGAAGACTGTGACAACACTCATGAGCAGTGAAACAACCCCCACAATTTCAATGATCCTCCCACTGAAGGAAATGATTCTCAAATCCATGGTACCTGGAGATGAAGACAGTACAGTTATCAAAGAAGCCATTGCACAGGACCTGGATAGAAGAAGGTACACTAACCCTGACCTTCAGAAGTACCTCCAAAAAGCCACAGCCCTGGATCCCAGGTTTAAATCCCTGCCCTCCCTTGATGAATCCTCCCTTGACAGACTCTACAAAGATCTTGCCACAGAAATCCTGGAGTATGAACCACAGGTATGATGATCTTATTTTCTGTGAATCTATGGCTGTATATTTATTTAATGATTATTTTTTTGTTGTCAAAATGTATATAGATGACTTAACATGTCATACTTGTACATACATACATATCTGTCAACAATAAAACAAAACAGCAGTTTAACTATTTTCTATTGTGGGAATTATACTAATTCACATGAGCAAAACATAGACATTTACAGCTGTTATTCTATATGCTAAATATTTGTCATTGTTCTTTCAGAGACAAGCGGAGACAATGCCACCCAGAGAGGGACAAGAGTCAGCCTCTCCCCCTCCAAAGAAGACCGCAATGGCAGAGCTATTTGGGGAGGTTTTTAAAAAACAAGACCAGGTCAAGGCTCTTTCCCAGATTGTTGAGGATGAAGTTGCTTCATATAGGTTAGCAGACTCCATTGGTGTTGATGCTGATCCTTTCATGTGGTGGAAGACCAATGAGTGCAAGTTCCCTCGTGTAGCAAAAGCGGCAAAACGTCTCCTCTGTGTCCCAGGGACTTCAGTTCCTAGTGAGAGAATTTTCTCCACTGCTGGGGACATCGTTAGTGCCAGCCGGTCTCGCCTTGCACCAGACAGTGTTGATAGACTCATCTTTTTGCACAAGAATCTCTCAATAGTGGATGAGTAAATAACATTGCACTTTGTATCCTGAATGCAGTATTTTTTTATTATTATATTATTTTGCTCTGCTTTTTTTTATTCAAACCACAAGCTAATTTATGTTTGTTAAAGGTAAAAGTGCACTTTTTCTTTCACATTGATCACTTCATATACCAGTTATCAAGGTTTGTAATTGGGATCCACTTGAATATTCTGAAGTGTGTTTGTTTACATTTTGTATTTCATAAGTGGTAGTTGAAGAGGTTGTATTACTTAGTGTTGTTCAGTACAGACTAGAGTGTTAATTTATTCCATACACATTGATGTTCTTCCTACTGTGACATTCTGTTTATGCTCATAAGAAAAATAAAACATATTTTTGGGATGAAATAGCAGTCTCTTTCTGCACAAAACATGTACCGAAACCGAACCGAGACCGTGGCCCAAAAACCGAGGTACGGACCGTACCGTGGGCTATCTGTACCGTTGCACCCCTAATATATATATATATATATATATATATATATATATATATATATATATATTTATATAACTAACTTATTTATTTATTACAGTATGGGAATGCTTCTGTTGCTTGGAATTATAATTATAATAATAATTATATATATATATATATATATATATATATATATATATATATATATTAAAGCTGACCGTGCTTCCATCACTAAATGAGTTTGTTACTTTTAACAGATTCTGAATATTATATCTTGGTTAATTGATGTTGTGATCCTTGATTGTGTTATCTTGTGTTTGATGTTATAAATGTGCATTATTATTTTTCATTATTATTTATACTTAAACATATACTTGTTTCCTTGGGCAGGTCACTCTTGTAAAAGAGATTTTGATCTCAAATAGTTTTTTAACCTGGTTAAATAAAGAAATGAAAAATAAACAAACCTATTTATTTTATTTATATTTTGAGTTTGAGAGTGGGGATGGTGTTTTTTGTTTTGTTTTGTTTTTTTGCCAGACCATAATAGCTTAAAGAATTATAGGTGGTGGTGGCAGCAAAACTGCCCTCTTCATTTTCCTTCTCTCTCACCTGTTCTTTTTCTCCTCTCTGCTTGCCTTCACCTATCACATCCTCTTCATGTGGGTCTACAGCTCGAGATGTCCTGTAAAATAATTGAGATTAATTTAAATGTGATTTCTTTTTTTTTTTAGGAAAACTGCAGAGCCTTCTGAGGAGTTCAGCTGATGTAAATTGTGCAATTTACATAAATTACCCTTGTCACTAGAGGCCTGGCTTAATATTGATTCAAAAATGTTCAAAATACTTTACTTTAACATGTTATATCAGTACTTATTTGGTATTGAAAGAATCGCACTTATACTTGAAATGTTTATAGTTATCTTCTAATGATTCTTGCTAGATCATAATTTTTAGACATTTTATTTTCTATTTTCATTTATTTTAAGACTCAACTTAACTGTATGTCCAAATTTTAAATATTACAATGGCACACACTGAATTTTGTGTCGATACTGACACATGAACTCTGTTAAAAACAGTGTAAGCATGCGTTGAGTACTTTTTCATCATATTTGTCATTATTTGCATGGTAATACATGAATATATTTTATAAATTGTGCTTCACCCCAAAAGCTTTGCCTTTTAGATAGAATCTCACATTCTTTCATTGGTAGACCTTAATATTTCCAACACATCATTGGACATGTAATTAAATATGTATTTCACCATCAACTTTGAATTCCTCTTTAATCTAAATCTAGTGGTTTTAGAGCGGCGTGTGAAAATGACTTTTATTTTGGTCTAACGATGTGACGTCATAAGACTGCGCCGTTACTGCGTCTGTTGTGAGTTCACTGAAGAAAGGTTTGTGTTTTAAAACATTTAAGGAGTTTAAATCGGTATAAACCATTTAATCTATGTTATAGTTTTACAAGCCATGTAAAATTATTTATTATCGAATGTAACATTGCAATGCTTTTTCTAACATTAATGAAAGCTATTTTTCTTTGTGGATAAAACACATCCGCACTTGGTGCGTCTTATTTAGCTCCCTTTATATAATACATCAATTTTTTGTAAACACGATTTCAGGCACTGGCAAATATTGAAGGGAAAACGGAGCTTGTAGAAACTCGAGTCAATTGAATCAACGGCTTACCAAAATGATTCACTGTCTCGAAGCGCACGAATCACCGCACGCTGACGACACCTTCTGGTCAAAACAGTGGAAATGCAACGAGAACACAAACACTAAACTTTATAATGACTTTTACAAATCAATGGCAAATGTTCATGAAAGTGTAATCAATTGATTACTAATACAATCTACAAATTAATACTACCAAATATAAATCATAAATGGCAAAATTTAAAGTGTCTGTATAATTAATGTTCTTCTATTCATTTGTAGTGCTAGTTTTAAGAGTTTATGGCCTGGCCTGAGCAGCCAAAAAACAATCCTTCTGACTGACCCCCTTCCCAGTGCACTGACTACTACATTAGGGAGCTGATTGAGACGCACTCAGAGATTTATTTGGGATTTATTTTTAGTTGTTAACTACTCTTATTTTAAACATGACAGAGTGTCCAAACACACAACTGAGATCCATGTGACACTATTATAAAGATGGCGTTTATTAAAGAGGAGAGTGAAGACATGAAGATTGAAGAAGTATTCACCGTGAAACCAGAAGATACTGAGGAACAAACAGGTTAGTTTTATTCTCTGAGCTGAACATTGATCCTTATTAAAATGTCCATCTCTACAGAAATGAATTTTGAAAAGTGTCACATGAGTGTCCTTATTAAAGTGGTTTTATTTGACATGAAGCGAGTCGCCTCATGTGGACAGAAATGTTGAGATCACATGAGACAAATACTAATATGCTGCCTTTAAGAGCACCTGAGAAGATCCTACAAGTGACATGTCATACTAACTAATGCACAACATTCAATTAGGAAGAAATGGTACAGAAGTAGTCTAAATAAAACCATTATTTAGTGTAACATTTAACCCATTATCTATTTCTGTACTGACAACTGTGAAAACCATTCATTTCTATCACATAAATATGCAAAAGTATCCAACAAAAACATTTATTTTGCACAAAGCAAATAATGAAATATAGGTGATCAACTTTACAGTTATTGTCTATAAGTGATTTTTCCTTTTCACCCTCAGAAGCGCTCACTGTTTCAAACCGGTTTCTTGTAAACACCTACTCGTTTCCAGTAGACTGATTGAAACATCTGTGTGCCGTTTATTCCTGGAAGTTAAAGGGAAATAAGATTGAAACACATTTGGGTTGCAGTGGGAAAATCATCTATAAATGCTTCTTTTTAGAAAGAAAAATGCACCTTTTTGTGCATTGCATATGGAAGCTAATATTCAGAACCCCATATAATATAAAGGGTCAAAAACACTTAAAGGGATAGTTCACTTTGAAATTAATTTTTGGTATGTTTTAGCTTACCTCAAGGGCATCCAAGATGTAGGTGTCTTTGTTTCCGCAGTAATTTCAATTTTGATATTTTTAGGTCAAACCGTTCTTGTCTGTCAGTGATATAATGCAGGTCTATGGTCACCACCTCAAAGAGCATATGCACAGAGAAGTCCAAATTAAACATGATTTAATGACTCGTAAATCATTGATTCTTGAGAGTCGGGACAAAACATGTCCCACAAAGAAAAGTCTAATTTATAGCAAAAATGAAGAAATTCATCATGTATGACATACTTACAAAGTTAAATCTAGAGGAATTGTATATACCTATCTGATTTTTAGAATAAACTTTTTTATCTTTTTGGGGAAAAGTTGTTAAAATGTATGGTCTGTGGTTAGATGGTCCATGTTATTGCACTTGTCCTCAGCAAGAGGTTACAATATTAACCATCCCAAAAAACTTTAAAAAAGCTCTACAATTGTGAAAACATATATATCAAATAAAAAATAAGGGGTATAAATATAAAAAACAATGCATGAAGTGAACATCAAACAATATTTTCCATAAATATTTGCCTATTAAAGTTGTGTCCTCAGTTTCTGTCAACCCCGTCAGATTTTTTCATAAATATCTTTAAATCAGGAAATAGCATGGTCAGCTATATCCTTGAGGACCCCTTTTCATCTCCCTGTCTGTGGTGAATGCACCACTACCACACATGCTCTGGAAAGGTTTACATTTTTTTAATATTTTAGACAAACAATGTCAATATTCCTATGGTCACAGCTGGACCATGTCAATACCATCTTTCTGTTAAGATACTTTTTTTAAACCATAATGGATTGAATTTAAGCATTTTAGTGAGGTAATTGGGACAGCTAGCAACTGAGGAAAAACTACCTAGCTGCAGTGTACAATACATGTTTTGGCGGGAAAATACATGCCCTTACGTCAACTCCGTCAGACGTCAACTCCGTCAGGTTCTATGTCTGACGGAGTTGACCTGTAAGCTGACGGAGTTGACAAATCCACCAATAACCTCTTAATGTGCGAATATAATATTATTTGTGAATATAGTGAAGGGTTAAACTGTTATTTCAGGGTTTTATTTACACATAAATGCACATACATAGCATGCATTACATTATTTAACCATACGCATGTCCGACGCCTGCTGCTCAATGCATAAGCACAGGTTAGACAAAAATGAAATCTTAAGTAAGCTAATTGAACCTGATTCTAAGCTACAGATTGTGTGGTGCAGTATTGTTGTCAAGGAATGTCAATTTAAGATCACACCCAGTATAAAGTAGGCAGTGCAGGGCAATCACACATCCAACACACCCAAACACACACATAAGCGCACACACACACACGCCACTTTAAAGTAAATGGCTACTTACAAAGGAGGAAAGGAAGAGGAGAAGAGGTGGATGAGAAAAAGTAGAGCAGGAAGTGGTATAGGGGAGGTAGATGAAAACAAAGGGGGAGGAGGGCCCCTGGTTTCTCTTATTGTTTTTTTTTTTTGTGAAAGTTGGAAACGGTGTAATTTATAATAGTTGGAAACGGTGTATGCGCTTATAGTTTGCTTTACAGTAAGTTCAATACTCTAATAACAAGGAGTAGTTTTAGTAGTAGTTTAAAGAGCACATCTGTTCAATAATCACAATGCACACATATTTTTTGTCAACACCGTCATATCTTCATCAACACCGTCAGTTTATCATCAACACCGTCAGTTTTTCATCAACACCGTCAGATCTTCATCAACAGCGTTGGATGTATGTTTTTGTTTTTGTAATTTTTTTGGGGAAAAAAATTCTTCCTTCAGTTTATGTTGTTTTTGTAATAAAGGACCATCTGATCTACATCATCTTATGTTTTATTTATTTAAGGAATTTGTTTTTACAATATTGAAATTAAAATCAAAGTTTGGAAATGCAAATATTTAGAAATCTGAGTTTTCAGAATAGTGTGAAATCACAACTTAAGTTTATATATTGTATTTTTTTTACATATCAGAGTAACTAAACACTATTACAATATACTTCAGAAATTTAGTTTCTTTTTGGATTGGAAGAATTAAAATTGTATACTTTTTAGTGTGTTTGACGGAGTTGACACAAATCCAGTTCTGAAGTGAAACATGCTTATTTGTTAAAAATGTGTTTTTATTTAGAACCTGTTCCTTTACATGGTTAAATAGCTAAGACCTTTCTCTGCAGAAACATACAACTCTAATTGAAATAGTGTGTATTTTTTTTTAAAGTTTTTTAAAACGTATTTTGTCCCGACTCTCAAGAATCAGTGAAATACACATTGATGGCCTAAGACATGAAACAAGCGTTTTTTGTGAGAAAACGAACAGTATTTATATCGTTTTTACCTCTTGTAACCATAGCCACGTCCAAGTGATCTGAGGGCCCGGGCGCTTCGGTCTGCTTCTATTTATTAATAAACTAGTGTTTTCTGAGTCAGCGTCGGCTGAAAAGAGTTAGTTGACATTGCTGACTCGCCATCTCCGCAGCATAATTGCACCTTTTATACGTATTATATAATCTGAGAGTATTTGTTTTCAATTTGAATTGGTTCATTTGAAAGTAGACATTTCAGATTTTTGTGAGCTTTCTGAGACGACAGAAAGCTCATCCTGTTTTTGTTTTATTTTTCAAAAGTTGAACATTTTGTGGTTATTGTGAGTTTATACAAATAAAAGTAGATCCTTTACAGTTCCAAATGATGTATAACTCTAATCTCTATGACCAAAAATGACGGGGAATTTTAGGTTGTTTGCTCTGTTGTCAGGAAAAAATGCAAGTGATCGCGCCGACATACTTTAGCTGCCACACTTTGCACAAACACTTGGATATGAGTCTAATAATAGCACACATTTATCTAGGTTAACGTTAGAGCGAGCAGACATGTAAAGTTGCTACTTCTTACATGTTTTTAAATGATAAGCCCTATTTGAGGTTGATGGATGATAGTCGAACATTTGGATTTCCTGCCCAGAAATCCTGTAATTACCACAAGGATCCGCCATTAACGATCCGTCCGTCACGAGCCCAGAGGTTCACACACAGAGGTTCCGGAAAATACACTTATAATGTGTCCCGGGATTGTTTGATTTTGGTTCATTCACACTGGCAGTGATTTTCTGGAATCTGTCTGTGCATTCACACACATCCGGTAAAGTACCGTAAAGTCACATGATATCAGGATGTGACGTGTAACGTACACGTTGAAAACGGGTTAGCTAGTGTTGCACACTTAGAACTGAAGAGAGAGGCCCTCGGGAGCGCGCATAAATGACACATCCTTTGATTTTACTGGCAAAAACTTCCCTGCGACGACACACCCCTTATTGCATTTGTCCTGCCTTTTCTTCACACAGGAAGCTGATCTCAGCAATGTTACTAGGTTCCCATCCCGGGGAAGTGTTTGCATTCATACAGAAGGCTCTCTAGCAATTCTATGGCAATTTTCTGGGATCAACACTCTGTGTGAAAGGGGTTACAGACTTCACCACTTCCTGTGGAGTTTTCTTTTTCCTGCGACTAACCGATAAATACATTTTGGTTGACTATATTTTAGTCATCTAATAGGGGGCAGCCCTATATCAAAATATCATGTATTATAGAAATAGGTTTTCCCCCTCCTCCGGTGAGGGCCCCTGTTACTTGGGTCCATAATTAAGCACTGTCTGACGCCCCTGTGAGTGGGCCATGTGGAGTCCTATGGAGAAGCAGTGATGCAAACCAGAGTTTCTTAACCCTGGTCCTGGGCTGTGTTCCACTTCACTTTAAACAATCAATTGGAGACTTCCATAAGCGCTTCACCTTTGGGAATCCCTGCTGATATTTAGGAAGATTGTTCCACCTTGCCAAGTGTGTGAGGGAGGTTTCAGTGGACAAATACTCAACCGTTTAATTTTGACAGGAGTCTACACATACGTACACTTAGGGCTTAAAAATGTTCATTCAAAAGAGTTTTGAATTAAAACATAGGCAAAACATGTATACATAGGCCTGGTTCTGCATGTGGGTGTAAGTTGTAGTTTAGGGGTTCAAACTCATAGTTTGCTTGTTGGGTTAGGGGTATTATGGATTACAAATTAAATATAACAAATAATTGTGTGTCTGATCGCTCTCGGGCACTACAACTTTAACAAAGTCAAGTCACATTTATTTACAATAAAGATTGTTTCAAAGCAGCTTTACAGAGATAACAGAAAAATAATGCAAAACAGTTTGTTTCCAGAAGAAAA